CACACACACACACACACACACACACACACACACACACACACATACACACACAACGTAAAATAAATTTGTTTATGTGATACAATTGGAAAGGTGATTCTATATGAAAAAAAGTAAATACAGAATAAATTTTTTCATATAAGAGATTTTTGAAAATCGATTTTAAATATTCGCTAAGTATATGTGTCTCGACTGAACACATCTCGCTGTAGAGTGTAGACTACTATCTCTGCTCATGTTTGTTTTATTGAGTAATCAAGAATAAACAAAATAAGATATTCACGTACGATGAATTTTATTTTGATTTTATAAATTGCTGAAAATGTCCGAAAACAAAGCCTTGTACGAAAAATGTTTATTCTACGTTTTTGCAACTTATTTTTTCGTGTAGACTCGTCACCTTCCACATTGTACCACTAGTTATAGAATATCCTCTGTGTGTGTGTGTGTGTGTGCGCGCGCGCGCGCGCGCGCGCACACACACACACGTGTTGCGAATTAATACACGAACCTTTGTATCTCCATGTTTTTTCCTTATAACATGAGGTCTAAAATTATCTCCATATCTTAAAAAGTAATAATATGATATAAATCTGTCTAAAGGTTTCCTCAATAAATTTATATACAAAGGCATACGTTTAGTACCAAATCTGGAAGATAAAATATGTGGTAAAAAACAAATAAACATTAATTTTATTTTACGGATAAGATATAAACCTTGCTGTACCTACTTTCCAAAATTTAAAAACGCCATGTGTCCATGGTAAAATGCTGGTTTTATACTATTCCAGTTTGATATGTTGTTTGCAAATTGAACCTGTATATAACATATCTGTGTTGATAATGATAACTTTATCAAATAAAATATAGCGTATCTAGGTTTTGACAAAAAAGAAGGAAATATATAACAAATAAAATATAAAGACTTATTTTCTCACACTTGACGTAATATCATGAGACATAGAGAACGCTTATATCGTACTCTACAGAAAGAATATATTTTGAAAAGTAATTATATGCTTTTAAATAAGATTCTAATGCAAAAAACTAGAACACGCTACAGTTAAGCAGTACATAAATATTTCTTAATTAATAATAAATATATAACGCACCTGGTTAGCAAAAGTAAGGGTGTGCATGTTGTTGGTCACGTTAATGTGAAGCACATGATACTTATTTTGCTTGCACAGGTCATAAACTAATCCCATGAAACTAGTGGACGCTGTTTTTGGTACTCTGTTGTATATCACGACAACATCCTCTAGATCATCCTCGATACCTCTTCGCGCCTCGGCGTGTTCATTGTCATACCTAGCATCGATTCGCGCGACAGCATCATCTGGAAAGAGAATTTTGTTACTTCTGCTCAACTGCGAGCGAATCGAAACTGACTACTTTCGAAGTTACATCTGAACACATACGGAGCGATCTGTAGCTCTCCTCCAGGTTGTTTAATCGCTGTCGCAGATAGACTATTACGATGACGAGAATCAGGATCAGAACCCATTGCGCGAATGGTAAGTTCCTTACTATCATCTTACGTCGTCGCTCAAATCATACCTATCACCCGCGTCGGCCGCCCGCGAGCGTGCCGTGTCCGAAGCCGAGTTAGCCGAGCTGCGAAAGCTCGAAATATATATACACTACGTGTCCACGCAAGGTATCCTTCTTCCTTTCCCGTGTGTATCGGTCCCTTCTTTATAAACAAGCTATAAGCAAGCTAATCTTTATACGCCACATTCGACCAACAGCTGTCGAATTATCACTGTAACCTGTAACTAAGTCGTGGCCATCGACAAGATCGAGCAAAGCGTATGACTTTTAGGTTAGAAAATCACGCGAAAACATCCTTCGGTTCGAGCTGCGAGTGCGATCACCTTCAAAACTTGACTACGATTGGTATTTCTGATTTTCTGCCATTCATTTAGCTTTCCGCATAGTTACAAAAGTCGGTAAGAATATTTTAAAATATAATAAAATAAATTATACAACCTGATAAATATATATACATTAGATTATGTATAATATAGCGAAAGTTAAAAATTGTATTGTTTGGACGCTCAGAAAATATTCATAATCGAAAGATTTAGCCTCTAAAATTTGGAATACACGCGAAGCTCATTCGTTTTGTTAGAAGACAATGTATTCATAATTGTATAAAATTGCTAATTAGTTTATTTTCTACAAATAAGGCTTTTTTTTATAAAAAATTTTCTTGTACTAGTACTTTTTTGCACTTATTGTATATGTATATGTAGTATGCAGGGTTCCATTTTAATAAAAATTGTGAATTAATATCTTGAAAACGAATTAACACAAAAGTAGTTCAGATAAAAGTTATATTAATTTAAAAAAAAATTTATTTTATATATTCCTTTTTCAAATCATATGACTCTTGTCTGAATTAAGTACTTTTATGTCCATTGCTTCGTTTTCAACACGTTTCTATTAAAATGAGATGTTCTGTACATAAGTGCAAAAAAAGTATTCATATAAGGAAAATATCTTTAAAAAACCATATTTTTAGAAACATTTTTATTAATGAGACTGGTATAACACAGGCCAGAGGCCTAACATAAGAAGAAAAAACTTTTTATTAATGCTGAATATACTTATTTGTTAATAAATTGCTAAGTAATGTTTATTTTCTACAAGGCTTTTTTTTTATAAAGTCGCCCTTGTACGAATACTTTTTGCATTCTAGCATATATTTTGTATATATGTGTGTCATAATATATAATTGACGATTATTCTATAGGAGACACAATGATTGAAGTAACAACATTAAAAATATTAATGTATACATTTTATAATGAACTTTAGGGTAAAAAAAGTTGAGTCTAGTACATGATCGTGATTAACAAATAATTCCTATAAATACCCAGTCGCAGATCTGTTCTTTTTTTAGCACAATATATCACAAATCTCATTATCAATTTATTAAATAGTTCATATGATATCTATATAATAATTAATAGGAAGGTATACATTAATTACACATATTAATTGTGATTTATGTACATTTTTATGCACTAGAGCGGTGTTACGACATCGTGCATCGCGTACCTCCATGTCCACGCCCTCGCTACCTCCTCGAACTTTTCGCGATCGCTCATATACATTTCTCCTAATTCTGGTTCCATACACACCTATTAATAATAATTAAAATTTTTTATTTTATATAAATTGAAATAAATAATTAAAGTAAATATTAAACATATTTTTATCGAACAGATTGATTCTAATTTCAAAATAATATACTTACTTGGCAATACGGATCCGTAAGCAGACTCTGTACACTAATAAGAACTTTAGATATTGTAAGAGCTAGCGACCAATTATGATGTATCGAATCGATGCCAACGTCTCCATGTCTTGATACGTTTGGGTGAAGTATTTTTGTTAGAAATCTCACTATGGGTGGGCACATGGGATAACTATAAAAAATGTACATATTTTACATAGAACATTGATAATATAATGTAAAGCAAGACTTGTTGTATTTTCTTGTGTTCATGAATCCAGAACTCCATAAGTAATTTGAAAATAAAGTTCTAATTTTTGTATTATATAATTTATTGAAGTCTTTTAAGATATTCTTACAACTGAATTAAAAAAATTTTAACAATTTTGTGATAGAAAGAAGAATCCTATATGTATATAAAGTATGTAGTAAGTTTCCTTTTTTTTTAAATATATACCTGAATGGTACTTGCAGATATAGATAAAATAATCCTCCCTCATATGGACTTCCTACTGGTCCTGTGATAGTGGCTTGCCAATGACAACACATATGATCAAGAGGCATTGCCTCAATGCCTTCAGGTGGATCGATTCTTAAGCTTTTGAGTTCGCTGCGCAATCTGTTCCTCCGCCAAGAGTTTTCCTCCATCCTGGCAGGTCTCGATCGCAGGGAGGTCTGTGCCAAGCACGTCCGACATGGAGCTGAAGAGGCCAGATGATCATATACCTTGTACCAATTTTTAATGCAACCAATGGGCTTGTACAAAGGCCAGCGTAATTTCACGTGCTGCTTCCATTGCAACTGTGTGACGTGTGTTGATAGCAGGCCGCACCATCGTCGACAAACATTTGCTGCCGACCATAAGCTGATGTCATCGAGATGCGAGAAGATGGCGAGCAGCACCTCAGGAGGCAATCTTTCTACCAAGCCTGGCTCGTTGATGGGTTCATGTTCGATGTGTTTGTGATTTGATAATATCTCCAACCGTTCCGATAGATTATAAGGTCGTGACGGCTCACCTGCGTCCTCGTATACTCTATAGTTCCAATGATACTGTCCAGGTTCATTGTTCTGACCATCGTGACCCAGCGCAAACATCTCTGGCATACTCCGCAGATTTTCCTCCATTCTATCATGTGCGTTTTGATCGTTTCTGTTGGCACAATTCTGGTGACAGTCAACTCTTGTTCGGCAGACCATACTCTGCAGATCGAGGTTTACATCGCGCGATGCTGAAGCGTTTCGCGCAGATCCTACTACGCATATGTCAACGGAATTACTATTTGAATTGCTCTGGAGCATGTGATAATTGCACTGAGGCGTCACGTTTTGATACTGTGGGTAACATCTGCGTGAAATGTTTGCATTATGGTTGAGTGGATTCTGTTGTGCGTTTGGGATATTTGGATTGACACTCTGCGGAGAATTCTGCTGTTGTTGACTAGTTCTTCTTTCGTGATTATAATATAGATCGGTTGGCTCGTCATTTCCTGAATCTTCATCGTCTGTTTTCTGTTTTGAGAAAACATATATAAGATACTAACATCAATATTATTAATAGTACATAAATAACAATCCCTTAAATGATATGCCTGGAAAAATTTGATAAAATCTGTTATACTGATATACATCCTGGGACAGTTCAGTACTGAACTTTATGTATTTTATAACCTAGAAGATTCCTATCAATTCCTTACAAGTCACAAGTAGTTTATAGATTTGATGGAAAATGTTACTGCAGACTTTAGATCATATTCGTAGTGTGTTCTTGTTTCAAGACTGTCTTTCTTAAGATGTAAATATTTACATCTTAAGGTTTTGTGATTGGCTTATAACATCTCAAGACTGTATTTAAAACCGTCTTAAATGTAAGAACTAATCATGAATACCAGTCTTATAGTGTATTTTGATTATTTTTACTGCAAAGGAGTTAATAAATCATATGCTTTAATAAATGATTCACATTAATTACTAATCATTTATTAACATTGAATATTATTTGTTGAATAAACATTTAAAAATAATGTTTATATATATGCTAATATCTATATATACCTATATATATATATATATATACCAGTAGTCCATTGATATATCATTATATACTGTGCATTTCATATTATGTGAAATAAAATAAGTTATCAAATTCAGATTATATGATATTGTACCTCACTGAAGATTGGCATCTGGAGCAGATCAACATCATTAGGAAATACAAATGCATGACATGTTGCACAGACTGGTTCTTCGAAACATGGTCCATAATATCCATTACAAATGTAACATGCAGTTGTCTACAAATTAGAAAAAACTTGCATATAAATACATAAATTTTCATTAAAATGTAATAAAAAGAAAACTATGAAATGACACAAAAATTTTAGTCAATTCATTATTGACAAATACATATTTACTTGTAACAATCAAGTTATAACAGGGTGACTGTCTTAACAGTCATTAATTAAGTCATATAATTAAGTCAATAAATTTCTCGCATAGGGAAATAATTTATATAATAACAGATATAAATGCGTTCGATATCTTTTTCTTTGTTACAAAATCGCGACACTCGATCATCAAAATGTGCGTTGACGCGAAAACGTTGGCAAAATATGGTAATATAATCGAAAGAAAAAGAGAGAAAGATAGAGCGGAAATTGGCTTACCGAGAATTGAAATTCGGGACAGGGGACGTATTCGATCGACTCGACAAAATCGTCTTCTAGATTTAAACTAAGACTCAAGTCACCATTCTCGCTTATTTTCTCGCTGTTACCGTTCTGTGTGCAATCAACAATCTTATCACCTGCCATTTTGTAACAATCATTCGCGAATGTATGTGATATATGATGTGATGTATGTATGCATTAATGCATATACCATGCGGGCGGTGCAGTTCTCTCAGTGCTGCCAAACGAGCAATGAGAAAGTCGCCAGATTTTTCAATAGAAATAGGGTGCTTTTTCTAATTGGAAAATTATTGAACACTTTCGTGCACCAGTGAGAAACATAAGGGGGGGCATGAGGGCCTTTTTCCTGTAACCGTAAAATGTGACGCGTTGCCAATAAGCTTACAGCTCCTAACATGTTCATTGGTTAACGCATTTTGCCGCGCGGCAAGCGTTCCCGCGTCCAGTGTGCATAAGCCATAAGCTTATTGGCTACCGCTTGGCGCCTGATGCTTCAGAAACTTCACGTTTTGCCGCGCGGTAAGCGTTCAGTGTGCAGGAGCTATAAGATTGGGTTGTTCCACTTTTCGGTAAATTTCAACTCGCTGTCTTATTTTCTTGCTCTATTATGCTCTTATTTTTATTCAGTAAGTAATTACCACAGATTTCTATAACTAGACATATCAATGTAATAGAAAGAGATGAATCTGATTCCGCGTTCCGCGCTGTCCTTGTTTCAGGGCACATTATATGTACATATACCCCACACAGCAAATGTATCAAAAATACATCTTAGAGATATCTTAAAGATATATTTGAGATATGTGATATCTTTAGGATATCTATCTGATGTATTTCGGTAATTTTTGCTGTGTGGGACGTTACAATGGCGTGCAAATGTTTCCGTTCATTTTCTAAAAAATAGAATTTTTCAAGATCATATAAAATTTATTACCTTTTAAAAA